CCTCTTCATGCATAAGTTTGAATTTTCAAATTCAAAATAACCTCTTCATTAACTTCCTAAATTAATCTTTTGCTAACTTGGAAAGTTTCTAATTTGAATCCAAATTAATATGAATTTCAAATCCCTTTCCTAATCAATAGATCTAATTTAGGAAGACCCTTCAATCCCCCCAAATCTGAAATTAATTTCAGATTTAATTATCACATCATATTTAATGCTATGGTCCACATACATCGAATGTGAACATCTTTCCTCCCTCCTTTAGCCGCCCCTCTCTCCTCTATCCTAATGATTTCCTTCCTAATTAAAGGCCTCAATTAAGGAGATAATTAATTCTTCTCTTCCCTCTCTTCTTTTCTTGTTTGAATTTCAAATTCAAATCCATGAATTGAGGGAAATCTGAGATGGAATATTAAATCTTTAATTTTTTTATTACCCGCCCTCCTTCGTTCTACATCTGTTCTGAGATGGAATTTTAGATCTTTAATTTTTATAACCCCCCTCCGTTCTATATCTGGCTCCCTCTCGTAAACTAACTTGAGATTGGCCCGAGCCGTCAGCACCTAGCTGAAATAAGTTGGCCTTTGGTTCTGCATGTGTATCGCTTCCAACCCAAAACATAATTTATCTTTCTCAATAAGAAAAGGCTGGCTAAAATTCAAAAGAGCTAAGACTAGCACTCTTGTCATAGCCTTCTTCAACTCAAAAAACTTGGGTGGTTGACTCTCCCCACTTGAAATTGTCCTTCTTGAGCTGTTATATCAAATGGCCATGTTATAGAACCATATCCTTTAACAAATTTCTGATAGTAACCCATGATTCCCAATAATCCTCTCAGCTGCTTTAAATTCTTGGGATATAGGCCATCTGAGCATGGCCTTAATCTTGCTCTGATCAGCTGCCACTCACTCCTAAGATAACGTATTCCCTATATACTCCACTCTAGGCTGTGTGAATGATTGACAAACAAGGAGTGCTTCCGTTAGGTGGATAATATAACTCCCAGATGCTCCAAGTGCTCCCCCTTAGACCTTTTGTATATCAATACCAGCAAAAACTTTCACAAGTAAGACTTGAATACCCTATTCATCGGGATTGTAAAGTGGCTGGTGCGTTAGAGAGGTTAATTGGCATCACCAAGAACTCAGTGTCCCTCGTGCGTTTGAAAAGCTTTCTTGTGGGTGTCTCTAGGTTGCATTCTGATATGATGGTATTCAGATTTCAAGTCGATCTTGGAGAACATCATAGATCTGCAGGTAATCTAACAGTTCATTGATGACTGGTTTGAGAAACTTGTCTGGTACCATTTCTTTATTTAGGGTTCTGTAGTCTATGTCGGACCTCTAGCTCCCATCCATCTTCTTCACAAATAATACAAGATTAGATAAATGGCTCACACTGGGTTTGATAATTTCAGCTTCAAGTATCTTCCGAATCAGTTTCTCAATCTCGTCCCTTTGGATTTGAGGATAGCGGTATGGCTGGGCACTAATGGGGGATACTCCTTCCTTTAGAACAATAGAGTGCTCATTCTCCCGTGGGAGTGTTAATCCCCGGGGAAGCTTGAATATCTCCTTGAAGTTTTGAAGAAGGGGCTGCACATTATTTGGAATATCCTCCCCATCCTCTATCTATTCTCACTCTAGACTCTTAAACTCCACCAAGAATCCCTCTCCTACCTCTTATAGGGCATGAACCATAGTTTTTAAAAACCATTTCCTTGGGTAAGTTGGCGTCTCCCTTGATTGCCACCTTTCTCTCCTCCACCTGGATCTCCATGGGCATTGCCTTCTAGTTCACCTTGATCTCCCCCAAGGTTTGTAGCCATTTCATTCCCAAAATCAAATCAGTACTTCTCAACTCTAATGGAAGGAAATCCTTCATGATGTGAATCCCTTGTAGCTCTGCCAAAAAAACCCTACCATATCCTATGCCCTTCTCTACCTTTCATATGCCCAACATCACTCAAAACTTCTCGTGTATACTAGTTTCAGACTCAGTTTGTCTGCCATTGGTTCGATATGAAATTGTGGGTAGCCCCACTGTCCACCAAGATCGCCTCTGTCTCTCTTATCTGTCCCCTCACTTTCATGCTTTGGGGTGAATCCCACTATAGAGTTCAATGAAACTTCAGTTACCTTCAAATGCACGGGCTCCTCTTCCTCTTCCTCCTCCATCATTGCCTCTTCCTCATCCTCCTCATCACACACAACAAGAACTGGCAATGTGTGATTTTTGCACCTATGTCCTGATCTAAATTTCTTGTGACATTTGAAACAGTCCCTTAGCTCTCTTGTCTTGCACTTCAGTATCAGTTAGCCTCTTGAAATCCCCTTCTTGTCGGACTCCCGAATTGCCCTCCTTTGGAGTCTTCCTTTTTATCTGGTACAGTCTGCACCCTAGGTGCCAGGAAAGTTGTCGTCGTGTGATAAGAATCTCCTTCACTAACCCTTTTGCTACTATTTGTACTTATTTCTTATTTTCAATCATCTAAGCTAACTACATTGCTTTTTACATGTCATGGGGTCTTTCCACCCGCATTGCTACCGTCAACTCTGGTTTGAGGCCTTTCATGAAATTGCTTTCCAATATTGTCTCCGATAGCCTCTCTACTCGTCCCGACAGAAGCTCAAATCTTTCCTGATACTCCGTCATAGTGCCGACCTACATCAATGCAAAGAATTGCTCATAGTAATCTTCATCTTGATGGGCTCAAAAGCGATCCAACAAACGTTTTTTTTCCCACTAACGGATTGCATACCTTGTCTCTCCATTGGTACTATGCCAGTGACTTCCTTTCAAGACATAGAGCAACGACTATTAGTGTCTCATCTTCTGTCAACTCGTTCACTGCAAAATGTCTCTCCATCCTATATATCCAACCATGCTTGTCTTCCCCTTCAAACACAGGCATTTTTAGCTTCCTAATCTTCTGATCTCCTGCCGCAATGTCCCCTTCCGCCCCCATAACGTGGGCATTGGGGTCTCTTCATGGTTCCCTCTCCTACCTTCTCCGTTCATATTCTCTCCTTCCTCCAAGTTCAGCCCACCTATTCTCTTCTTCCCATTCCTTCCTACCTGCATATTCCCTACCCACACCCCCCTTCTTAGTAGAGGCTCTAGGTGGGGTATTCGATACCCCCTCCTAAAATTTCCACGTCTTTGCCTTTGCTTGACATGTCATCTTTTTGATTTCTCCTTGCTTCCGGCGGAGTCATTTTAGTATGAAACTCAAGCATCCGCTTCATTATCTCTTCCATATTCCCAAACCTTCATTATATCTTTGAAATATGTTCATTCATCGATCCCACATCCGCTCGTAGTTGCCCAACTTCCCCCTCCAACATTTCTTCCAACGCCTCACCTCTTCTTTCGGCCATCAGTTTTAAAAAATTGCTCTGATATCAATTTTGCACGCCTAGATATCAAAACAGTCAACAAACCAAGAGATAATTCAACAAACCGGTGATTTTTATTGATAAGAAATGCAAATCGAACAAGCAAGATATAATGTTTCTCTTTCGAGAGGACATTCTCTCCCAAACCCTACACGCTACTAGGATCCCTCATAAATTAGTAGACAACACAAACTCCCAAAATGCTGCATTAAAAAAAACTCCAAACAAACCCTAAAACAGCCCTAAACAAGCTCTTCCATTTCCCTTCCAAACAACCTTCTTATCAATCTCCCTCTTTTATTTGAATTCGAAACCTACTTTAATTCCTTCCTTAATCATTCTCCTAACTTTAGGAATTACTAGTTTGCTAGGCCCACGAGGGGGGCCGAATTTCCCTCTCCCGCTCCAGGTCTGCATGCGGCTTTCGTGCCTTCCGTGCGTACTACTCCTGCTGCCACTCTCGCCATATGAGTTGGGCCGGCCTTGTTTAGGGCTGGCCTGGCTGTAATAAATGAACTGGCTCAGCAGCCGGTACATCAGAAAACTTCTGAAAATTACATATTATACAGAACTGATCTTGGAAGAAGAAAAATACGTATGGATGAACGAAAGAGCTTCTTGAAGATAGTTGGTTGTGATTTTTTTCTGTTCATTATGTCTAGTGGTTGAATATAATTTTATCTGATTGTCTTATAGTATAGTAGCTATTTGTTACGGTAGAAACTGCATCCTTTATTTTGCAAATCTAGAAAGCAATATCTTAAGGAACCTTGGGCATACAACTTTTGCATCTTTGGACAAATTGTTATTACCTAGTCAACATATTGTGGTATATGCATGCATCTTTTTTAATCACGGTATTGCCACTATAATTATCTTAATGCCATCATGATTAAAATGATTGAACGTGGTCACTTCAGTTGTAGCTTCAAGCTGCTTTGCATATTGCAAGAGTTATGGGCTCTCGATTTGATTATTATTATTATTTTTTTTGGCATTGTTGTATAGTGTTGCGCTTTCCAATAAAATAAATAATTATTTTGTACAATCATGCTAAGATTGTTGTCTAAAATTTGTCGTAAGAGTTGTGACTATTTGGCAAAGAATTATTGTAGCAGCAATGTTAGTTTTAATCGAATGATCATAATGGTTATTATTAGGAATTTCATGTACTTATGTGAATATATATATACACATAACACACTCTTCTGGAAAGCTAGTTTAAATTCCGTTTAAAGATAACTGTCTTTCTTCTTTCATTTCTGCTTTTGAAGAAAACATTAACTGACAGTAGAAAGCTATCCCCAATGGTGCCTGAATAAAGTAGCAATTTTTTTGGTGTGATAAAATAGACATCTGCACGACATGACTTCTTTTCTTTTTGCGAAGGAGAACACAACGTTAATGATGGTTATGATCAAGTTGAAAACAATCACTATTCCAAAAGCTTGTCTAAATTCTCAATTTTATATATTTACCTGTATGTGCTTATAACTATTGCAAGTGTAATTAGCTGTCTAAAATCCAGAGAGTTCAGTCATCCTCTATATAGTGTCATAGCTTGTTTTATGATTAAATACCCATCTTATATAAACATTCCAGGTTGCTGAGAGGGCCCTGTTCCTATGGAACAACGACCATATCATGGGCTTGGTGTCTCAGAACCGCCATGTACTTGTGCCCCTTATCATTCCATCTCTGGAGAGGAATGCAAGGAGTCATTGGAATAAGGCTGTCCATAATATAACATTTAATGTCAGTAAGATGTTATTGGACATGGATGAGGAACTAGTTTTGTCCTGCAAGAGGAAGTTTGAGGAGGAGGAAGGAAAGCAGCCAGCAGTCGAGGAAAAGCGGACGATGACATGGGAGCAACTTGAGAAGGCTGCTTCCACTTTTCATCCAGTGACTGGAAGAACTGCCGTCCTGGTAACTCCATTCTCAGCTCCAATTGTAGCAACTCTTACATAGCTGCTATGAAGTAGACTTTCTGCTCTTAAATTTTCCTGTAATGCATGAGGAATTCCTTTTTTATATTTTGCTCCTCGTCTTTCATGTTCTTTTGTATTATTAAGCTACTTTTTTGTTAAAAGTGGGAATGCCTAGTTGATGTTCCTAATGAAAGGGAAGGGCTTGCTGTATGATTATTCCCATCATGCCTATGTCATTAAGATATTGATACTTGGTAGTCATTTTATGGCTCAGTTCCTGTTTTCTGTTTTATTCTGGTTTCATTTTTTATCTCATTTATTCTGGATTCCTTTTATTATGGTTTGCTGATAAAATCTTTTTTTCTTTTTATCCTGCTGGGCTCTGATAACTGTCTCATGAAAATCTGGGGAAAAAGATCTGGTTTGCCTGCTTTTAACAAGAGCTGTTAGTATTTTCTGGATATAGATTTTCTCCAAATACCCATCTTTGTCGTAGAGTATATTTTGAATGGCTGCGATTGATTCCACTAAACTCATAGCAGCTTTAAAAAGATTTGGTGGATTCAACGTTTTAAAAGGAGAAATCGGGAATTGAGGCTTTTTGCCTAAGCGAGGCGAGGCGTAAGCCTCGAGGCGGATCGAGGCGTAAGCCTCAAAAATGATAAAAATAAAGTAACTTAAAATTATGAATAATAACAAAAAATAACAAAATATTATATCAATTGTGAATTTGATAATTTGTTCTAAGATAATATTAGTATATTACTGGAAAAGAAGATTTAAAATAAACTCACTTAAAAATAAAACATCCCTTTAGGATCAAGACCCAATGCAGGCTCACCATCACTTTGATGGTCTTCAGAAGAATCTTCATAATTAATATCAAAGCCATCCTCAAACTCTTCTTCATCTATAATATTTTTTCCTTCATCCCCTATATCAATTAATATTTCATTAGATCTAGAATGAAACAATAATAGCATAAAAAATAATTCATTATATTTAAGAATACATTTGAATTTTTTTAAGCTCAAATATCACTTTGTTTCTTTCTTTTATATATATGAGTAGTTGCTTCATTGTCTTCATTTACATGATTTTCTTCTTCTGTTTTCAACTTTAGAAACATCAACATTCTTAGAAGTAACCCATTCATCATCAGATTGTAAATCATCAACAAGTAAATTGTCAATTTCATTATCAATGCTTCATTGCTTCTGTAATTTGAGATGTCTATCTTTCAGTTTTTTGTTAAATATAACGTAAATTAGTTTGTTCATTCGATTTGTCGCCAATCGATTTCTTCTCTTAGTATGAATTTGATTTGAGAAGCTGCCCTCCTGGAGGGGTTCGACCTGCTCGGTCAGGTCGTGGGGTCAAGGGGCAGCGCCCCTGCGGGGTTTTCGTGGGCAGCGCCTCCGGATCAAAATTTTATTGTAAGAGTAATTTTGAAATTATGCTTGTTTTTAAAGTTCGTAAGTTGTTTGTATGGAAAGGTACTGAGTGGTATCGAGCATGTACCTAATGATACCGAGCGTGTACTGCTCAGTACCGAGCGATACTGGCTCGGTACCGAGCGGTACTGGCTCGGTACCAAGCATGTACTTAGCGGTACCGAGCATATACCTAGCGATACCGAGCATGTACCTAGCGATACCTAGCGATACCTAGTAGTACAGACTATGTACTGAGCGGACGAATGAAAGAAAGTTGAATCAGGAGTTATTCAAGCTTTCGTTACTGCACGTCAAAGTCAAGGCCCATAACACCGCTCACCTGCTCTTCCGACCTAACCGAGGCCTGAACGTTTCCTGCACTCACAACTTCGGCTTCGTTTCCTACTTTCAAAACTGTTATTTATTTCGGCTTTTATTTCCTGCGTCGTCTCCTTCCGACTTCATCTCCTGCACTCACGGCTTCGTCTCCTTCCTCACGGCTTCGTCTCTTTCCCTCATGGCTTCGCCTCCAATTCGCCTTTCAATTGTCAGAGGAAGCCATAATCCTATACACGAATATGAGAACACGAATCGGCTGTGTCGTATTTACATATATATCGAAGAAAAAATTTCGAGCTGGTGCCTCGTACTACCTTGAGGCGTTACGCTTTGATGCGTACGCCTCATGCGAAAAAATTGTAGGCTTCGCTGGATGGTTTGAGGCGTAAGCCACGATATGCATGACTTCCGCCTCAACTTGAGGCACGACTCAATGCGAACACCTCGTCCGCTTTTTAATGGTTGGTTGGATTCAGCCACCCTTATCATTATTATTGGGGAGGATCTGAATTCGTATTTTCCATATGTATCTTTTTTCAAACTAACATTTAGCTGGTGCCATAAAAACATGTCACATTATATACACTACTAAAAAATAGGGCTATCGCAGCACAAGTTTTAACCTATACCGACGGTTCTACCAGGCACTAATTTCTTCTTAGCGGTTTTAAAATCGCTATACCCCTGCTGTAATTGCAATGCACTGTAGCGACATTCCGCATCGGTTTAAGGACCGGTGGGTTAGATTTACAAAATGCTATGTTTAGCAGCGGTTATAACCGGTACACAGTTATAGATTTGTAGCGGTCAGAATTGTCACAAATAACTTCCAGTTAAACTGATATCCAGAGCTGTGGCGTTAAAAACTGTCACAATTTTGACATGTTGTGGAGGTTAAAACCGCCATAAACATCTAGAATTTTTTTTTAAAAAATACAAACCAAGAATGTCTAATGCTGTAAAAATACAGAACAAGAATGTCTAATGCAATCATATGTTGATTTGATATAAACATACATCAGCAACTAATAGGAACTTTGAGAGATTAAGGCATCCAACCCTGCTCATTCAGAACCCAAAAGAACAGAAAATTTTTCAAAAGTAAAGAAGAATGAGAGACCAATAATATAGGCTTAGCAGTCAGATGATAGCAAAATCATACATGATAAATTATAAATAAATAGTTCGTCTTCCTAAAATAATAGAAGCAATCATACAATATATATTAAACATGTTAAATTATACATAAGACATTATTACCAAAGTATATAAAATATTGTGTGGATGATTTAAGAGATTAGGTTTAAAACAAGAAGAGAAAAAAATTGAGATGTGTCAAGTAGAGTTCTAAACATAGATCTTAATTAGGAATCAATAAATTATAATCCAAATACATTAGACAAATTGATGCAGATCCAACAGTGACCACTCCAAAGAACAAAGGAAAATTAAAACTACAATAATGTAAAAATATAAATGCAATCAACTTTTATACTGAGACCACTAATTGTAATATGACGAATTTAACTTCATTAACCAATAACCAGGTCAATACGCTTGATCTAGACAAGATCATTTATGATGCTTAAATAAAATTCAAACCAGAAGAGTTAACTAACATCACTGGATATACAGAGCGTTATGAATGCTATGAAAAACATCAACATCATAGAATTTGTCATTTCTTTTGTCCAAAGTCCAAACAGAAAAAGTTAGAAACATCTAAATACTCATTCAATTGAAGTAGAAGAATCCCATTTACTGTGGCTAATGATCTTGAAGCATGAAGTAGTTCATAACAACAATATTCTCAATCCAAGTCCAAGGTCTCAAAGTAATGCAAATCAAAGAAACGAACTAGAAAGGAGAAGTTAAGGAAAAATCATAACAAGTGCAAACATCACAAGTTCAAATATCAAAAGAACTACTAATGCTCAAAATCAAAACAACATAGGTTTCAAAATACATAAAATATTAATACAACTAGAAACATCACAAGAAATACTAGAGCTCATCAGCAGAACAAACTTTAGTTTCCAGTAGACTGTCAGATATCATATGAATTTTCATTGTCACCTTGAAATTAATATGAAGATAATGAGATACTAATAATAAAAAAAATTTCATTAAAATTACATAATTTTTTTTCATATCATTTCTGATCCTCAGAGGTGCTTTGCCTTCCTTTAACTTTGATGTGGCACCAGATGCTTTATTAATTACACAATCACCTAGAATACAATGCTCTTCCGTATGTCGATTTCATACAACATATCCAACAAAAAATTCTTTTGAAATTAAATGGTCTTTAACATCTTTCATAGAATGGAAGTACCTATTAATGCATGACTTGCACGGACATAAATTTTTTCTTGATAAATTATGGCTTCGACTTACAAACTCTATGAAATTGTTTACACCAGTTACATAATCACGACTCCACTTGGCTTTTGTAATCGAACTCTTATCCATATTAAGTAAAAAATAAGTTTCCAAGTCATTGCTAAGAATAAGATTCATTAGTTCACTCAAATTTTTATGTGACCATCATGTTCATAGACTTGTGATCATATTATATCTCAAACTAATTACCTTCAGGTTAGCAATAGAAGAACAGAATGAAGTTCTTAAATTTTGATGTTGATGATATTACTTACAAAACCTTTAAAATTTAGGCTAGTCTACAATATATCTAATTTACTACCATTCTTATGATATTTACTTACACTTTATAGGTTATTAGTATTGAAATTACTTCTAACACATAAACTATAGCATCGACTCCTATTTATCAACACACTATGGTTGATCAACATGAACTCTATTGATTGGAACACATCTATATGAAATATTCATGTTATGAATATGCTTGGTCATTTTACCTAAGCACTCCTAAGTATTTGATTGGTTGATCACCAAGCTTCTAGGCTAACTCCACCACAAAAATTATTCTAAGCACAGCCCTACAATCCTATATTAGACATAAAACCTAAACATTTATAGAACAAAAATTTTATAACTTAATTGAGTATGATTAGAGAGTCATCAAGTTTTTAAGCCCTTTCTGGTAAATATTATGGGTGAAGTTTGGTATATAGCTACAATGCATCTTGGTTATGCATCCTCAAACTACTGATAAAATCGAATCAGTTAATTGTTGCCTAGGTAACTTCGGTTTGATGTTTCATTTGCAAAAATAGTGCCAATGGGAACCAAATTCTAGCACAGGTTGAATTTTCTTATAGTTGATGCGTTAATCAATCTACTAACCTAAATTCATTTGAGCAATCTACTGAGATCGTGCATGGCCACAATCTATTCACTCCAGTTGATTTTGTTCCATCTCTAGGTATTATTGAGTATTACAAATAAAAAAACACTAAAGCCAAAGAGATAAATGCTACATAAGCAATTGCAGAAGGAAATTTCATAATAAAATACAAAATATTAGAAACATAGAAACAAGCACCAAAAATCAACAAGATGCACGCGAGGAGGGATATCTCATTTGGATTCG